TACATGTGCTGATGCAGTAGTTGTCTCAGTGTCTCAGTGATAACATTTTCGGAGATAGTACTATCAATGTTCTCGTCGCTGTGATCGCAACTGCACACCAAATTAACGCCGGTTTTGAGGTCAACATCACAAGAAAGCAGAAAATTCTCCGCTTCTTCTCTAGTGAAGAATCCCTCAAAAAGAGAACTTGAATATTTATCAACTTGCTTGTTGCATTCCTCCCATGTATTAAATATGCCAACTGATCGGCCTCTTGCTACGGCATAAAACTTCTTTTTACCTTCTCGTTTTCTTTGTCTCCTTTGTACTGTAGCAATTTCTTTGTCTAGATCTTCGTAAGAATACATCGGATCGCGTAGTTCTTTTCTAATTCGTTTCTCAGCTTCCATGTTTAACCAGTGATAAGTGTGATACTTTAACACAACGAACAGCTACCCAACGATCGTGGAATTACCAAGTTACCAACAATTTTACCAAAAGTTTAAAGAGCGATGTTTACTATGTGCGCACTTGTCGCCATCTTGACTAACTAACCCACTGACATTGACATTCATGTACATACTCAATTTTCCCACTGTAGCACATTTCCAATAAATGAAAGATACAACAACTTTACGTAAATATTAATTTATTTTCAGACAATTACGAGATGTCTCGACGTCGTTGACAACGCGATATCAATGCCACTCGCACTATGTACATTTTAGTACTAGATCTAGTGCCGTTTTAGCACTAGATCTAGTGCCATTTTAGTACTAGATCTAGTGCCATTTTAGCACTAGATCTAGTACTTTTTCGGATTAGTGCTACTAGCACTAACCACTCGCACTATGTCCATTTCGACACATTTACATACCTCCCTTTTTAGGGACCTTATTGTGTAACTGATTTCTGGGTGAGGCGAAATGGTGCTGCAGTTGATGGTTCAAGCCTACCCATGTAGAATGCTTAGTCTAGTAATCCAATTTGATGGATATAGTATCCTAGAACAACATTCATTAAAACACAATGGCTTGATGATTGGATGACAGACCATATACAAATACAAATGTTGAATGCTGTATGTTCCGCTAGGCATGTCTGAAATATCATATATCTTCGAAAACAGACAAAAACAATCACCACTAATTCGCCATTTTGAATAAAAACGTGAGAAAAGTAACCCTGCATGTCAAATAATCATACCAAAACTGTAGATGACAGTGCACCAGTGATATCCTAGGAAGTAAGAGTACAATATTGATATCAACAGAATCAGTTGGGAAACGCATTATGCAGTGCAAATTATAAACATAAATCTCATTGTGTCTCAACAAATTCTCAAGACAATTTGCGTTCAATTAGGGTCAGACTATTGTACTAACATTCATATACATGTATCAATTTAAAAAAAATGGAAAACAGCTATTGTTCAAGTGTACAAAATGGGAATTTGACCAGACATGTTTCAGATATGGTTAAAATGTTTAAAGAAAATGGGATTATCCGTTAAACTGCAAACTCTTGCAAGGTTATCTCTAATTGGTTAAAATAACCTCTTATCCTGGATATGCAAGAAACGAAGTGGCAATCATTCCATCATGATGTGCCTTAGTTGCCCTGCATATTCAACGAAATCTTAACGAAATTTATCAGTTTGATAAATTATGATTATTTGTCATTTTAAATTCAGCCATTTGTTCAAAAATAATCTGATCAAATGTTTTATTACCTGTCACCGTACCAATTTGAACTAAATTGACAAAAGATGTGTGACTTGGAGGGGTGAAATCAACAAACAAAATGGCCACCTGTAAGATATTTTGAATATAAAGAGAACAAAAACAGAACATACATCAGTATATCAGCATGTTAACCAGCATACAAAAATTTGAAACAAAATCGGACAATGCATGTTGAAAGCACTGAAACTGATGTGTTGACATTTTGGTCAAATTTCAAAAAAAGTAAACTATTATGACCTGTCATTGTACCAACGGATCAGTAAAAGGATGTCTGAGAAATGACTTGGCCATTTTGAATCAAAATGCAAAGAAAAAACATGCATCACACAACTCACATTGGACAGTAGTACTGGAAATGAAATACACATACACCAAAATATCAACATAAAGTTACTGACTTTAATACTAAGAAACTAAGTATAATAATACAGTAAATGAATTCACTAAAATAGGGGATTGCCTAGGGAAGTGTGCATTGGAGATAACTCGTAGTTCCAGGATGTGGAAATTGATGACAGTCAATGACTTCTGCAACAAAACAACGAAGAAATACAGGAGTCTTGCTTGAAGAGCAACACGGCAGGAGATTGCAGAGCAGTTCATACAAGTCTCACGGAATGATGGCTGAAGCCTGTATCATTTGTCTCACAATATGGCAGCAGGAACACACAGGATCCTCAGTAGATAAAATCCCAACTGTTCTCAGTCTAACCAATTTATAGGCATAAATGGCCCAGATTCAGGTACACCACCTGGATTTCCACAAGAGCCAATCAGAATGTAGTCTTGCTAGCAACTGTCTCAATTGGGCAAGACATTAGATAGTAAAAATCATTTGTTATTTAAATCACACGTACACCTGCTAGATTCCAATTGTACTTGCAAGACCATTTCTTCCAATGATTCCATGCACACTTCTATTTGCAGGGTTTGAGGTAATACATGTACAACAAAAACATGGAATAAGGGATGCTGACAGGCACCTAACATATTAAATCATAAGCATGTCTGAACAAAGTGTATATAAAGCAATTAAAACAAATGGTAGATAGTGGTCCATTCATTTTGAATCAAAATATACAAAAACTTGACAGACATTGAACATGTACAACCTTCATATCAAGTGTCTATTATTGAATAAAAGTGGTTGGCAGTTAGCAATCTTTAATTGGATGACAAAATTATTGTATGCAGTGCTTATTTATAATATTTGAAGTGAATTACTCATTCCATGTATAAGATTAAGTGGAATTTGTCAAAAATAAAATGGCTGCCAGACAAGTATCTGTTTTCAAACTTTGAAATGCAAGTGTATATGAATGATGTATGATGACTGAGATCCTGTCCGAGAATCGTAGAAACACCAATTTTGAGGAATATTTATTACCAATCGGTCATCTTTAATTTGATTAAGAACAACAAATCATATGTATGATATGTGATGTATATGTCATGATTTATTGTCAAGGCAGGTCAGATTGAGATTTAACTGGATCACAAATGCATAAACTAGGATAATAATGTTTCTTATTTGTGAAGTTAATCTGCCCATGCACGTATGAGACATAGGAATGGATGCATGGACACATAGGTGTTTTATGACTACATGTTTTTGTATGACTAAAAAAATAGTAATTAATTGGTGAAATTACTGTATTCAACACTAAAAAAATCATTCAATTATATTGTTACATCTCCATCATGATACCAAGCAAGTTACATAAGTATTAAAAAACCTGGTATTGAAGTGTTTATCTAAAACAAAAAAGTAATTCTGAACACGTCTACATTGTCAATTTGTTTATCATGCTTCAATTGAATTTTACGCTGATTAAAGTTTGGTTCAATTAAAGATTCAAATAAAACTGACAACCCAGAAAGCAAATGATTTGAAGTGGAAATATTGTTTTGGATTCTTGGCTTGTTGTCTTTAGATTCAAACAAAACAGACAATCCAGAAAGCAAATGGTTTGAAGTGGAAATATTTTCCACAGGTTTTTCACCTGTATCAGACTGACTCGAACTTGTTTGACATTGGGTTGAATGAAATTCTTTCTTATGTTTTAGCATGCGGTTATTTAAGTTACCCGAAAAAGTAACCCCTTTCATACATTGTGGACAAGGAAATGGTTTTTTACCTGCATGTACTAACATATGCCGTTTAAGATCAATAAACCGATAAAATCTCTTTCCACAGTGTTGGCATTGATAGGGTTTCACACCTGTATGTGATAATTTATGCTGTTTCAGATAACGTAATAGACCAAAACTCATTTCACACTCTTGGCAATGAAATGGTTTCACATCTGTATGTGTTAATGCATGATATTTCAGATGGCTTGCCCAACGAAAACTCAGCTCACAATGTTGACATTTAAATGGTTTTTCGCCTGCGTGTACTTGCAGATGCTTTTTAAAATTATCTGCCCCACTTATACGCCTATCACATTGCTGGCAATGAAATGGTTCATCATCTGTGTGTATTTGCATATGCTGTTTTATATTATCAGCCTGACTAATACGCTCATCACATTGCAGGTATTGAAAGGGTTTACCATCTGTATGAGTTTGCATATGTTGTATTATATCACTCAAACAGTTGAAGCGCATCCCACATTGCTGGCAATGAAATAGAACAGTATCTGGTTGCTCAGACATGCTTTCCAAATACACTAAAATTTTCTCAAGTTCAAGATGACATTTTCTTCCACTGCTACAGATGATATGCAGGATTGTCAGATTTACTGGTTTTCTTCTTGACACAGACTATCCTTGATGTTTGGTATAATAATACTCTTCAATATGTCAAATCCTGAAAATGAAAAAAAAAGTTAAAAAAGATCAAGACAGAATGATAACAAAACTATTTGCAGAAATATTGTCAATAGGTGATTTTCCTTTCACTAGGAGATCTTGCATATTGCGTGAAATACTCAGATCAAATGTCAGCCACAAAATTTTAACTTGAATTTAATTTATTATAGCTCAATGTAGTAAAGACTTCATCAGACTTTAAGTGACCATCATCAATGAGCATAGCAAAGTATTGCATGTGGAAATACTACATGCACCAGATTACATTAGGGACTATAAACAATGAGAATTTTAGCCCATTCTGTTCCCGGTTTTCTAAAACAAAAGAAGTTTCCAAAGACAGAAAGAACAAGTCATCTAAATATGACACAGCCCCCACTTGTCAGATGTGATTATAGTTGGCTATGAATTATAAAGTTTGAATGTATATGACATATAAAATCGGGTAGGAAGATTAAGTTGAAAATCAACATTACAAGGCACATACCCTATATCGACATATCAAGTAAGTCTATACCAAGTATTGTCTTATTTGAACTAATAATTCACAAGATATTAACAAAAAAAAAAAAAAATTTAATATGCAAATGAGCCCATTAATTAAGTTGAAACTCAATATAGCATAGCACATATCTTATATTGACAGATCACAGTCCCTCTATAGACCGGTCTGGAAACGGGCCGTGTGCATAGACATCGTTCGTGATCTCTTTAAAGCCAAAAGATGGAAACCATGCTATGGAAAGTATACAATGGACTTTATACATTTTGACAACGACAACATTGACTAGGATTTTGTTCTCGAAATGGAAGAGTTAGTTGCAGTGGAGGAAACTACATTATTGATCCTAATATATAGAGTTGATTAGTAGTCATAACATTGTAAAAATTCGACTAATTCCTAAATAGTTGTATTTCGACATACAACAACAAATAATTGGGAAACATAGAGTGCAATTCTTTACAAAAGGATAATAATGAAATTAGGCAGAGGGTTCTCTGACCCTTCAATTCACATAGTTCATACCCACCATAGACTCCGGTTAGTCAAAATTACTATTTTGAACTGTAGGCATTAATCAGCGATTCTGCCAATGACAGCGAGATAGAATCTAGGTCAGGGGGAGCCCCCCCATGACCCCTAGATTTTTTTCCCTTTTGTCACAAACCACGTGACCGAGGCCATATGGCGGCGCCATTACGGCTGGATATTCACTCTGGTTCCTCTCTCCCTCGAGGAGTTAGACCAACGCTATGGAAAGAGTGGGTGGTTGGGGGGACCCGGAGTCTATGGTGGGTATGAACTATGTGAATAGGCGGGTTCGAAGAACCCTCTGCCTAAATTCACTATGTTATTATTAATTACCCATCATAGACTCCGGTCAGTCAAAATGACTATTTTGAACTGTAGGCGCTGATAGGTGATAGGTGGCGGGTTTTCCAAGGAAACAGAAAAAAGAATGGAAGTCTTTTCCCAATCCGGGATGATACATTTGTACACTCTACAACAATCTCTCAACATCTTAGTTAAGACCCAAAGAGGATGGTGTCTTACCTTGCCTGTGCTGTCCCCGGAGCAAGAAACCAAAAAATGATGCTACGGTGACAGGGTTCAGTGTGCCCGAGAACGCTAGAACCAAACCCAATTCAGGGGGTAATATGCTTTCGAAGTAAAGACCGAAACAGTTCTGCATGAGGGCATAGGTCGAAAAGCGGGACCTGGAAGCTTGCAGGGAGTGCTGACGGTAGAGAAATCTGTCCACAAATATGCTGAGACTGACTTAAAGCCTATGCGCAGGGACCCTTGTGGTCATTCGGGCTTGGTCAGCAATCAATGTCTGACCCGCTACGACGGGACCCAACCAAGAGAGACCCTCCTCAATGGATTGACGCTAGCACTAGTGAGTTAGCAATTGCACTGACCTCATGCGCTCGTATTTGGTGTCTCTGCAAGCTCTGTGTCAAGGAAGTAAAAGTATTATAGACCTCTAATACAGTCGCAGTAATCCACCTGGTGATGAAAGTTGGGAGACCGGCCTATCTGCTGCCTGGGCCATAACACAAAGACATTTGCTTGGCACCTGTCCAGAATTCTTAGTACAGTTTGGATAGCAACTCTGTGCTCGAACCGGGCAGGGAAGCAATACCTCCTGACCCTCCGGGTCGGCAAAATTTTACAGTCGAGGGATGACGATCGTGTCCTGGAATTTCGTTCTTGGCGAGAAACCAGATTTGTGTTTTTAGCACAACTTGATTGTCCATGACAGCGGTACATTGTCCGAGAAGGGCAATGCCCCCAGCTCTGGCCAACGCCTACCTGAGGCAAGGGCCAGTAGGAAGACTATTTTCCATGTCACAATTTTGAGTAGTGCTGATGGTTAGGCTTAAAGGGCGGTCTGCTTAGAGCGGACAACACAAACGACAAATCCCAGTTGGGCGATTCCCTTATACGGGGGTCTCGGCCTCTGATATGGAAAGCAGTAAATAGTCTCCTAATAATAAGACAATTGGTTAGTTGTGTTCCCAAAGCGTTTTTCAATGGTGGGAACAAAGCTCAAACCTAGAAATGTTGGCAGCTCGCTCAGATAAACCTTTTGTATGTTCGGGTCTACTGAGAGCCTCTATGTGTGTAAGTGTTACCCGTTGGGTTCGTTAGTAGTGCGCCGTCCAGTTGGGACAGCCGGTCCGGTAAGTCCGGAAGTACTACTGATGTTTCGACTAGCATTTCCAACAGAAGTGGAAACTAGGCCTTGGTTGGCCAATTGGGTGCGACCAATGACAATATGCAGGTGTGCACCTGTCGAAGTTTTCTCCGATGCCCGGTGAACTAGCGGGAAGGGAGGAAAGGCGTACACAACTATGTTGGTAGTGTGCCATCCGGTTGGGACAGCCGGTCCGGTAAGTCCAGAAGCACTACTGATGTTTCGACTAGCATTTCCAACAGAAGTGGAAACTAGGCCTTGGTTGGCCAATTGGGTGCGACCAATGACAATATGCAGGTGTGCACCTGTCGAAGTTTTCTCCGATGCCCGGTGAACTAGCGGGAAGGGAGGAAGGGCGTACACAGCTATGTGGGTCCACGGGGTCAGCAAAGCGGCCCTGGCCCAGGCTCCTGGAGTCGGCAGGTGTCTTATGTATGTTGGGATCTTGGTGTTCCGGAGACCAAGCCGCCCTGAAAGGGCATCTGCCAGACTGTTCCTCACCCCTGGAAGGTGGTGTGTGGTTAGCTCCACATTGTATTCCAGGCACCAAAGGAGAATTTGCTCTGCTAGAACTGACTCCCATGATGTGAGTTTCCCCAAGACCTGCAGTAGTCACTAAGTTGTGACCTGGCCACTCGTCGAACACATGCCTGTCCTCCCGGTCGCAGAGGTAAGCGTCAAACATGCTTCCCCCGCTGCTGGGGTGGACGACCGCCCAAGGAGAGTGAGGAGCCACCACCTAGTTCCTTTCTCCCTGGGGGCACATGACTACTCTTCCCTCCCGTGGAAGGGTCTGAGTGCTTGCCTCTGGCTAGCATACATCGCCTTAGGGCGTTGTGTTTTCTGTGCTTGGAGCGCCCTTCGTTTACTCTTGGCAGGGCCAACTGGCCAGCGGATTCTATCTGAACAATCTGGTTCATTGCACTCCTGAGCTCCGCGACTGCACCTGCCATCTCCTGAACAAATAGGGTGGAAGATGTCCAGTCTGCGTCACTGAGGTGGGGGTCGTATCCCCTGACTCACTTTGCCGACAAAAACCCACGCGTCTAAGACCGTGTCTCATTGCACAGTAGTAACCCTGGCCAAGAGAGCCAGGTGACACTAAGGGATGTTGCACGTAGATGTGCGGTGGCCCACTAGTAAATGTGTTACCTGGTGCAATCTGCCTCTGAGGTCTCAGAGTCCTGGGCGCACACAATAATGCGCTCAAGCAACTCTGCCCTCAGGGCATGATGGGGGGGGGGGCTGATTCCGAGAACACACAGCGACCGAGTTAGCGTTTGGTCCAGCGGAAAGTTTTGCATAAGATTTACCCCACCCGGGGGCCTTAAGCGTTACCTCCTCCGCGGCTGACCAACGTCCACCCATCAACACCATTTACGCACCCTGTGCCCCACTCAGCACTCGGCTGGACAGGGGGGAGACGTGCCAACGGGGTTGCTTTGGATCTCGATGCCCGGAATCCCATCAGCGTTGAAACAACAGTAAGTGGTTGACTTAGGATCAAGGGTGGGGGTATATCCATCGCATCACTAGGATCAATGATACTCCGCATAACCCCAACGACGTGGCTCACCAAGACGTTATGGATGGAAGATTCTGAGGGACCGCCTGAGGTACCAGGTGTATCCAACGCGAGTGAACTGTCTCCTTTCAACTTAAATATGTGTGAGAGAGCGTGCTCGACTGTGCGTCTCATGACAGGATCGGTTCTCTCTGGGGACGCCCATGGGTCGGTAAGAAGAGAGTCAAAACCCATAGCGGAGACTGGACTTAAGGGTAAAATCCTTGTACCATTACTGCGCGACGAATCCTGGATGGCTGAATATAGGGGGGAGGTGCAACGTGTGCCCTGACCCGAAAGACCTGCTCCGAGGCTTGGCTGCCAGCATCCCTGTTGCCATTCAGTGCCCGAGGTCCCAGAGGAGACCTGGTACAACTAGCCTGAGTCTCGGGCTCACCAAGATCAGCAGGAGAGTCGCGGCTGGGAACGGGGGGTTCCCCAGAAGAAACATGTTTTTAATGCGAGCAATGGAGATAGCTCGCTCTGACTGCGTCTGATCTACCCGGCCTGCCAGGGACAGTCCTTCGACCAAAGCCCCCATCTCAGAGGCAAACTTGGCGCCGCGCGAGGACGGATCCACAAAGGGACCCGCAATGGGCCCCATAGGAGAAAAGACCTCCTGGGGCACAGCCTCGCTGTAGCCGGTAAAATCCGGTAAACCACCGCCTGAAAACACAGACTGTGAGGTAACTCCACCATCGGGCCTC